ATTAATTGATTTTTTAAAAATTTTGTGACAGGGTCTCGCTAAGTTGCCTGGCATGGGCTCAAACTCGTGATCTTCATGCCTCAGTCTCCCGAGGGGTTGGGGTGACACGTGTGTGCCACTGTTTTATTTTTAACTGAACCCCCCTCCCCGCCAGTCTCTGGTGCTGGGAATCAAACCCAAGACCTTGCATGTTTGGCAAGCACTCTACCACTGAGCTACACCAAGGCCTTGAGTCATCTGGATAGTTTTTGTTTTTGTGACACTGGGGATCAAACCCAAGGATACACCACCACTGTGCTGCATCCTCAGCCCTTTCCATTATTTGTTTGTTTAGTTTTTGGGGGTTTTTTTGGGGGGGGATGGAACTCGGGACCTTGTGCTTATGAGGCAGGTGGCCAAACCACTGGGCTAAATCCCCGGCCCTGTTTGTTTGGTTTTTGAGACAGGGTTCCCTTATGTAGCATAGGCTGGCCTTGAAGACTTGGTGATCCTCAGTACTGGGAGTACAGGTGTATGCCACAATGGCTGCCTTGAATTCTGAATTTTGCCACCAGTCTCTGACAGTTTCTAACTCTGTCTGTTGTTCACGCCAGTTCTCTGCGAAAACCCTCCAGATCACTCACTCAAGCTGCCTTCCAAATCACCTGTGAAGCTGGCATCAATTCCCTGCATTCAGGAACTCATGGGACAACTTCTGAACTCTAAGAAACAAGGCCACAGACAGCACAGACACACAGGGCTCCTGAAGGAGAGAGTCTCCTGTTACCGAAGCCGTATAAGCACTGCTCTGTTGGGGCAGGGGCTGAAGAAAGGTGGCTCTTCTCAGTGGGAACTCAGGTTTCTAGCTTTACAGTAGGCAAAGGGGAATGGAATAACTGCTCTGACCTCTCTGTTCAAACTAAATAAATAGACATCTTTGAGGCCTTACTGGGCAGGGAGGGGCACTGGAGTTCTTCTAGAGTTGAGAATCAGGCCCCAGAGAGGTGAGTAAGTTGCCCAAGGTCACACTGCAACAGAGCAGCCAGGGGCCAGCCACTTAGCACCATAAAAGATCTGATCTAGTTCAGTGTTCTCAGATTTTACCCAAAGAACTCTCAAAAACTGAACTGCTTGGGTAGGCTTTTGTAACTTGCATTGTTTTGGTTTTCTGTTTTTTGAGACAGCATCTCACTATGCAGTTCAGGCTGGCCTTGAACTCACAGTGATCCTCCTGCCTCAGACTCCGGAGTGCTGGGATTACAGGTGTGCACCACCAAGCCCGGCTTCGTAACTTACATTTCAACAATACCTCTGGAGGTTCTGATATAGAGGGATGAGTGAAGTAGTAAAGTCCCAGACTCTGGAGATCCACCAACTGGGTTGAAAGACCTGTCCTCATTTTTCTCATCCATAAAATGGTGACATTAGTACCACAGAGTTGTCATAAGAAATTCTCAAATTTAATATATTTAATAGAATAAAATACTTTCTGATAGTTCTTATAGTATAGTTCATATATAATTTTATATGTTTAATAAAGTACTCAGCTTCGTGCCTATCGTTGGGAAGTACGACTATTATAGCGTTAACTATGTTTACCCGGCGTGAAGGGAAGCGAGCCGTCTCCCCGAGCAGCTCACGCCGTCTCTGGTCAGCCCCGGGCTGTGGCTGCTGTTCACCGTGGGCCCAGGTGCTCCAGTCCTTTGGGTTGGATCCCTACGCCCTTGTGCACAGAGTGGGCTGAAAATTTTCTACCTGGCTTTTTTTCAGATGCAAACTCGAAAGGCTGAGTGCATACCTCCTGGCCACGAGGGGGCGCCAATTCTGCTTGTCCATTGGCTTTTATGGCCTTCGGCCAAGTGCTTTCTCCCTACAGCCTCAGGTTCTCCATCTGTCAAATATAGGTTTGGAGTGGCTCATGGCTCCGGGTGCCTCTAGAAAGGTGGAAAAAAGGTACTAACTACCTGTCCTTCGATGCTCCCCACCTCCACTGGAGAATATTTTTATTCTTTCTTCTTTGGTGCTAGGATGGAAGTCAGGGCTTCATGCATGCTAAGTGTGCGCTCTACCACTGAGCTGCATCCCCAGCCTTTCCTTCTGATCTGTGCAGATAGGGATATTTCAACCCCGAGTTAGAAAGAGAGGGAGAGATACATATGATCTGGAGAACTGAACTAGTCCTACTTTTTTTTTCTTTAGGATCAAATCCAGGGCCTCACATCTACTAGGCAAACAATCTACCCCTGAAGTACATTTCTAGCCTCTTTTATTTTGAGACAGGGTCTCACTAAATTGCCCAATCTGGCCAGGAATTTGAGATCCTCCTGCACCAGCCTTCTGAACAGCGGGTATTGTGGGCGTGTCCCAACATGGCCTGCTCCCAAAGCCCTTTTCTGAGTTGACACTCCCAGGTGCTTTTGTTCTTCTAAATCAGCAAATCTCTCCTGGCTTCCAACCTCTCCCCTTCCAGACCTCAGGCCCCACCAACCTCCAAATGTGTGCAGCCTATCCAAACTGGGGGTTTTCTGAACCAAGGAGGCATTGTTATTTTATTCACTGAACCTGTTTCTACCAGCAGGCTCTCACGATGCTCATCTGCTAGTCAGGGACAGGAACAAACATGTCAGCATATAAGCCAGATGACTGCAGACTCTGTAGTGATGAGAGCTATGAGGGAATGATATCAGGGAACGATACCTGAGATCCTGACATGTGAGCTACTAAGGAAGAGGGATGGTCTCAGTGGAGGTGACAACTGAGCTGAGACACAGTTGGTAAATGGGAGGAGTAAGGGCAAAAGCCACCAGAGCCAGGCACAGCGACGCAAGCCTGTAATCCCAGCGTTCTGGGAGGCTGAGGCAGGAGGCTCTCAAGTTTGAGCCCAGGTCATCATTTTGGGAGGCTGAGGCAGGAGGACTGCAAGTTTGTGCCCAGCCTGGTCAATTTAGCAATGAGCAACACCCTGTCTCAAAATAAAAACAATTTTTTTTAATTTAAAAAAAGAAAAAATTTAAAAAGGGCTAGGTCAGTGGCAGAGGACCTACAGATTTGATCAGATATATACACCGCCAGAGAGAGCTGACCATGGTGATACATGCTTGCAGTCCCAATAGTCAGGAGGTTTAGGCAGGAGGACTGCAAATTCCAGTCCAACCTGGGCGACTTAGCGACTGAGAACCTGATTAAAAAAAAAAAAAGTAAAAAAGGGCTGGGGATGCAGCTCAGTGTGAAGGCCCTGGGCTAGTCCCCCTTACTGCAAAAACAAAACAGGCTACCAGAGAAACGTGTCCAGTGCGGTTTCAAACTCCAAACCCCTAATCTTTATAGTGGAGCTGGGCATGGTGGAGTGTGCCTGTAATCCCAGCACTAAGGAGGCTGAGGCAGGAGGATCGCTGCTGTGAGTTCAAGGCCAGCCTGGGTTCCATAGTGAGTTCAAGGTTGGTCTGAATTACATAGTGAGACTGTCTCAAAAAACAAAAACGCGGAGGGCTGGGGATTTAGCTCAGTGATTCTGACGCCTGCCTCGCAAGCACAAGGACCAGAGCTCGATCCCCGGTACCAAAAAAAATCCATGGGCCGAGGATTTAGGCCAGTGGCGCCTTGCAGGCCTCGCAAGCACAGGTCCTGAATTCGATCCCCGGTGGGGAGGACAGGGGAGGGGGAGGGGAG